CTGGTTCCTGTGTAATTAGTCCAAACCGACCCTGGGTTTATGGTTTTTGGTGGCTTAATCATAATTTTTCCCTCCATTTCTTCTCTCTCACACTGTCTCTCAATCCTGTCCGGGTAAGCCACATGAAATCCCCATTTTCTTTGTGCCTTAATCTCCTTTTCTGTCACAATTTAACACCTTATAACTTATTGCAATTTCGGTGGCAAAAAAAAAAAAAAAACTTATTGCAATTTCAAATTTTGATTGCCTTAGGAGGTTGGTTTTTAATCTTTTATGTGGGTATTAAATGGGAAGAGGCCTTGACAACGTTTCTGTTTTGAATCTATACATCTAAGTGCAATGTTTGTAGAGTTAAGTTTATGTTATCCAATCAATACTTTCATTCTTTTAGACAATTAGAAAACGGGGTTTTGGATAAAGACCCTTTTGTGCCATCTTTGGATGTGCCCAAATGAGAGTTTTCAACGACACTGGTTGTTTAGTTGGTAAATTTAGGAACTATGTAGATGCTAATGTGAAACCTTTTTCGTCTGCTGTTGAAAATGGGAATGATGCTGATGATGATAATGGGGAGGATTGTGGAATGCGAGGTTCGAGAAGGAAAAGAAGTAAGAAGGGGAAGTATCTTGTGGATTCTGTAAACAGTGTTGATTTTGATGGTATCAAAGGGAGTAAGGGGGAAGATGGGATGGTGTTGATGGTTTTAATGAGAACGGTATGTGCGGCTCAAGAGATGTTGTCTGAACATGGAAGTGATAAAGAGAAAAAGGATACTGTCGATTTTATGAGAATTAATGATTTTGATGGCGTTCATGAGAATTTGGATGACGATGATGTTGAAGATTTTAAGGAAAATGGTATGTGTACTTCAACAGTTATTGAGTCCGAATATGAAAGTGATGATGTAGGTAGTTATAGAACTGTGGGTAGCAAGCAAGTTGCTTGTTGTGATCCTGTGGAGTTGTATCAGGAACTTCATAACATTGAAAACTGTGCGAAGCGGAAGTGAGTAGATTGGGAGATTGTGGAGGAAGTTTTCAATTATTTAAGTATATCTGGGTGGGCAGCCAATCAATCTCTTGGCAGGTCATTTTTCCCTACTGCTGTTCATAAGTTTCGTAGCTTTTTCCTTAAGAATTGTTCTGCTGTTTTTGCTAAGCACGTGATATCACTTTGTCCATCTGATGCTGCTGTTAAGTTTCTTTTCCCTATATTTGTGGAGTTTTCTATCGAAGAGTTTCCCAACGAGATCAAGTGGTTTCGAAGTATGATTCAATTAGCTGATCTTAGGGACCCACATACATGGTTTCCTTTTTCACGGGTAATGAAGCATAAGATTATTTATCATTGTGGGGCAACAAATAGTGGCAAGACTTACAATGCTTTCCAGTGGTTTATGGAAGCAAAGAAGGGTATTTATTGCAGCCCACTTTGGCTTTTGGCTATGGAAGTTTTTGACAAAGTGAATGCACAAGGAGTTTATTGTAGCCTCCACACAGGGCAAGAAAAGAAATATGCACCGTTTTCGAATCAGGTTGCCTGCACTGTAGAATGGTGTCAACAGAAGAATTATATAATGTGGCTGCGATTGATGAAATCCAGATGATGTCTAACCTGTATACAGGTTTTGCATGGACACGTGCATTGCTTTGATTGAAAACTGATGAGATACATTTGTGTGGAGATCCAACTGTTCTGAATATTGTTAGAAAGATCTGTTCAGATACCGGAGATGAGTTGCACGAACATTATGGCAGGTTCAAACCATTAGTAGTTGAAGCCAAGATTCTGTTGGGAGACCTTTGAAATTTTCAATGTGGTGACTGTATAGTTGCTTTCTCAAGGAGAGAGATATTTGAGGTGAAAATGGCTATTGAGAAATACACAAGTCATTGCCGCTGTGTTATTTATGGTGCGTTGCCACCAGAGACTCGTAGACAGCAAGCTAACTTGTTTAATGATCAAAGTTTGATGTGCTTATTGCCAGTGATGCTGTGGGAATGGGATTGAATCTTAATATTAGTAGAGTTGTCTTTTATAGTCTTTCAAAGCACAATGGTGACAAGATTGTTGCAGTCCAGCATCACAGGTTAAGCAAATTACGGGGAGAGCAGATCGTAGAGGAAGTAGTTATCCGGATGGATTGACAACAACCTTGCATTTAATGATTTGGATTATCTAATTGATTGTTAAAGCAACCCTTTGAAGATGTGGAGAAAGTGGGTCTCTTTCCTTTCTTTGAGCAGATTGAATTGTTTGCTGGGCAATTCCCTAATGATAGTTTCTGCCAGTTATTTGAAAAATTTGGCGAAATTTGCCGTTTGGTGGTTCATACTTTTTGTGTCGACATAATCGTATTAAGAAGGTAGTGAATATGTTGGAAAAGATACAGGGAATATCTTTGGAAGATCGGTTCAACTTTTGTTTTGCTCCAATCAATGTTAGAGACCCGAAAGCAATGTAATCTGCTTAGGTTTTTCTTCAGCTTACATTCAAAATGTCCCGGTTAGCATGGCAATGGGCATGCCAAAAGGTTGTGCTAAAAATAATGCAGAACTCTTGGATTTTGAGAGTTAAAAACCAAGTTTTATCTGTGTATCTGTGGCTATCTCACCACTTCAAGGAGGAAAGCAAACCTTTCCTTGCGTGAAAAAAGCAGAAGAAATGGCTATCGGTGTTGCTGACTTGTTGGGTAAATCTCTTGTCAATGCATGCTGGAAACCAGAATTGACTGGTAAAGAAACCTGTGCCTCAAAAAAAGGAAGAAGGATATCAGAGACCAAGGTCACTTATCAAGTTGCGTAAGAGGTAAGTTTCTTGCAATTAAAATAACCACATGGGTTATCCCAGAATGAGAAATAGGGTATGGGATTCCAGTTTGAATTGTGTTCTGTTGTTTATTACTTTCTACTGTTGCTTTCGGCTAAATTTTAAAAATTTATACTTGGCTATATTTTTTTCCCTTGTGATTAAATCACTAATAATTGGTATTCTCCTCAAAACCAGATGATCCGCTGCACAATGTGAACAAAAATGATAAGTTCTCGCGAATTTTACAATAATTGTCTCTAAAAATTATTGGTTAAGCAAAGAAAGTCTTTCATACATAATTCCATTGATAATTTACTGAAAAAACTGAATACAACGTCTTATTCGCTTAAGGAAAATAATGAAATTCAAAGTAAATCAGTCTGCATTTTTGCCACTTTCTTAGAAAATTGCTACAATGTGACAGAAACAGGAAGAAGAATAAGAATACTTGCCTGAGTTTTCTGCCAGCAAAGAGTAAGAAAAGGCCAGAAAGTATTGAAAACATCATTGGCGAAAAACTACATATGAAAATTGAAATTCCCCACGGAGGACTTTGTCGACCGTGCTGTTATCTGATTTCATACTAAATGTGCAATATTTCCAGGTTAGAAAAGTCATTGTTGACTATTAAAGTCAGTGCACGCAATTTGTCAATGTTCTATAATTGATTCTCAGATAAGCTAATTGGTTTAATTCCTTCCACTTTGGGTCAATTGTCCAATTTGACTGCTCTTGATCTATCCAACAATATGCTTGTTGGCTCAATCCCTTCTACTTTAAGTAAATTAACTGCTTTGCAAACTCTGGATTTGTCCATCAATGTGCTCCTTGGTTCCATCCCTTTCATTGCCTCTTTGTCATCATTCATTGCGTTTGGCAATATTGTAGTATCATAATATCAAAATTTTCAATTTTCAAGAGTTTGTACTATATTATACCAAGATCATATCATATATCATCATTGGCTTAATTACCAGAATTGTGTAAGAGCATAAACATTTCTATCAAGATGGTTTAAATGGTATTATCGAAAAACCTTTTTCAATGATTATAATAGTTAATTTTAAATCAATTAAAGCTAAGGTATATTAGAGAATTGTTAAAATAAATTATATCATCAAGAAAAAAAACTCCAATTTGGTTCAATGGATTCTATTTTCCATTGCAAGTCAATGAACGTGAAAGACAAGTAAGGTTTGCTGTTACTGAAAAGTAGCTAGTATTATCACTTAATTAATAGAATATAGAACATTTCAAAGCTAATTTGTATGAGAAGTCATCACATTTAATATGATACTTTGCATGGGTCTATCTCATTTGAAAGACACAACACTTCAAAAAAAGAAAAGGCTCCGAAAATTAATTAATTAATTATTATTATTATAAAATTGAAGAAATTGTATGGTGGAGAAGAAAGCACAAGTCCATGTTCTCCTTTCTTTGAACTTTATTTGCAATAATATTATTAATAATTAGAAAGAAAAGACTTAAGTAAACATCCACGCCAAAGCTAATCCACATTGGATCCTTTTCTAATTTAGTGTTAGCTTTTAGAAATGTGGCTGTTTCTTGCACTCGTCTGAACACAATGCTACAATATGTGAAATGATCTTGTTTATTTGGCTGCTATGGAGGACAGAAAGTCTCCAATTTGATCCAACGTGTAAAAGAAATAAAAAAGATGGCATTATGCCTTAAAAATTAAGAATAGTAACAAGATGAGATAAGAGTTTTTTCTTACAGTGAATTTGATTTGATTTTTTAATTGTTTCATTTGAATAATTCTATCTTAATATCTTGTTATTATTTTTTATATTTAATCTCAACTCGAAAAATACATGTAACTTGCATTTGATTTGATTGATTCAACATTTAATTTAGTATAACTTTTATAAAAAATCATTTTTAATATCAATTGCATCTTAATTTTATAAAAAAAAAAAAAACTCTACTTTTATGGCTGAAAACAAAAGAAAAGAAAGAACTGTAGAAGTATTAAAATTAAAGAGAGAATTGAGTCTTTTAGATTGGTAAAGATACTTTAAAGATTAGCTAGAATCGGGGAAAGATACTTGTCTTCTTCAAGTCATCTAAACACGGTATTGCAAGTCTATGCACCATATTGCTCAGAAAATGCATTATTCATATGTATAATTCCATGACATCTACAGAACAATCAATGACAATAATTGACTAACAAAAAGTAGAAGACCTCGACTACTCTATCTTCATATAAATTCATTAGTCTCTGGAAATCATAACATGCTACAAACTGAAACTTTATCAGATATTCAAGCTAAATAGACATGGGGTCATCCTTAACCAATTCCATTTTTCCAGGGGTGTTCTGCAGTACCATCCTTCTTTCCTTTGCTACAACCCTGTTAGCAGCAGTATCTTCACTGGAATCAGAAGCTGTGGCTTTGCTAGAGAGTGGCTGGTGGAGTAGCTATAGCAACAATATTTCTCAACGTTGCAAGTGGCACGGTATTTCATGCAACAATGCAGGAACCATCACCAAAATTAACCCGTCCGCCTTGATTCCGGTTGGTGATAGATTTGGAAAATTGAATTTCTCTTCGTTTCCAAGTCTTGTCCTTCTTGATCTTAGCGATCGTAAACTTGGTGGAAATATCCCGCCTCAAATAGGTGATCTATCCGCATTGAAGTACCTGGACTTGTCCTCTTGTAAGTTATCTGGTGAGTTACCTCCTTCCCTAGGAAAGCTAACCCAACTAGAGTTTCTTGACATTTCCTATAATTATAACATTAATGGTTCCATCCCTTCACAACTAGGGAATTTGGAAAACCTTGTTAGTTTAAATTTGAGTGTCAACAGTCTCAGTGGCTCCATCCCATTAGAAATTGGAAATCTAAAGAATTTAGTTGTTTTACATCTCTACGACAACAAGATTGTTGGTCCAATGCCTTCCACTTTATATCAATTAACCAATTTGTCAGATCTGTACCTTGATAATAACCAAATTGAAGGTTCCATCCCTCAAAATATTGAAAATTTGAAGAACCTTAGGTTTTTAAGCATCACTAATAATAGCTTTACTGGTCTTCTTCCTCTATCTTTATGTCGTTTGACAAAATTGGAAGAACTTTTCCTTGACGAAAATGAAATCAGTGGTTCCATTCCTTCAGAAATAGGAAAGCTTAACAACCTCAAATCTTTATTTTTCAGAGCTAACAATCTCAGTGGCCCAATCCCTTATTCTATTGGTAATTTATCAAAATTGAAATATCTGTTCTTTGATTCAAATCTTCTAGAAGGTCCTATATCAAAAGAAATTGGGAATTTAGAAGCACTCAAGCTCTTGAACCTCTCCCAAAACAAATTGAGTGGGTCCATACCGGTTCAACTTGGCAACTGCAAAAATTTGTCTAGACTGGATGTCAGTTACAATAACCTCTCGGGTATTGTTCCTTTGTATATTGCTAAGTTGACAAACAATTCCTTGATTACTTATAAAGGTCATAGCGACTGTTACTTTATAAATGACAAGGCGTTTGATGGAAATAAGGATTTATCACGCTACACCTGTCCCCCAGAGCCCAAGAGCGGTCGAACTCCTTACTACATAAGAATAGCCCTCCCTATTGTCATAGCCTCTGTTTTTCTTATTCTGGGATGTCTGTTATTGTCTCCGTTTAAGGCCAAGAAAAACCAAGTTAGCCCACTAACAACAAAAAATGGTGATTTGTGCTGCTCAATATGGAACTACGATGGGAAGATAGCATATGAAGACATTATTGCAGCAACAGAAGATTTTGATATTCGATACTGCATTGGAACGGGGGGTTATGGAAGTGTTTACAAAGCACAACTACCTTGTGGTAAAATAGTTGCTTTAAAAAAACTTCATCACCTTGAAGCTGAGGATCCGGGTTTCGACAAGAGTTTCAGGAATGAGGTGAAAATTTTGTCTGAAATTCGACATCGAAATATTGTGAAGCTTCATGGGTATTGCCTACACCGGCGGTGCATGTTTCTGATATATGAATACATTGAAAGAGGAAGCTTGTTCTGGGTCTTAAGTAATGATGAAGAAGCTGTAGAGTTGAATTGGATAAAAAGAGTTGAGATCATCAAATCCGTTGCTCATGCCTTGTCTTACTTGCATCATGATTGCACCCCTCCAATTGTTCATAGAGACATTTCAAGTAGCAATATTCTGCTAAACTCAAGCTTGGAGGCTTTTGTGGCTGATTTTGGAACCGCTAGAATGCTACATCTCGATTCATCTAATCTGACTGTTCTTGCTGGTACATATGGCTATATAGCCCCAGGTAATTTTTTTTTTCATCTTATACTACTTTATTGGCTTCAAAATAAATTTATAATTGAACAAATAATTAAGAGTAATTAATTGTTACGCTTATATTAATAAGTAGTATGTTAAGTTTGTGGATCATGATTATTAATCCTCATTTAATACACATCTAATAACTATATTTTCATGAACAACACTAATATATAATAAATTTTTTGTCTAAAATTCAATTTTAAATATAAAAACCATAAGGCAATTTAATAAAAAAATTCCCAAACTCTTTTATCAATAATATAATCAACCAGATTTATTTGATTATGATCGTGATAAATGTAACATAATAAAAAGAAGTAATTATTGCTTGATTAGTTACATCACTAGAAAATTGTATAGGTTAAATATTAATCATCAATTAAACACACCATTAATTAATTATTAAAATGATTATATAATCTATCTCTAATTTTCTAGCCATATAATGAAGAAAAATTAATTTTTAAGCACGTCCTCAAAAAGTATGTGAAGCACCTAAGATTAAAAGGATGAAATTTTGTTGGACTTAGTAGTAAATATTCAATCATAATTAATTGTAAATAATAAGTAAAATATTATTGTGAATTAATTCTTTATTATCTTATGTTATGTTATAATTTTTCATGCATGTAATTTGTGTATGCAGAAGTTGCCTACACAATGGTTGTGACTGAAAAATGTGATGTGTATAGCTTTGGAATTTTGGCATTGGAAATATTAATGGGAAAGCATCCTGGAGATCTCTTGTCATCACCATCTTCTTTGCAAAATACCAAGCTAATTGATGTGTTAGACAAACGTCTACCACCCCCAACAAGCCAACTGGTTGCACAGAATATTGTTCAGGCCGCTACATTGGCATTGGCTTGCTTAAATCCGCAACCAAAGTCCCGACCAATGATGGAAGAAGTGTCCAAAGAGTTTGTTTCTTCCCAAAAATCCTTGGGAATTCCTCTCCGAATGATTACTTTGTCACAGCTTGTGAACCATGAAATGCATATTGGAGGCAAGAAAGAAACTTGTCATGTTTAATTAAAGCAGCTTATTAACTAATTTCATTTGTAATTCATTGTGACACAACACAAGAATGTGCCTCAAAGAGAAATAATTAGAAACCAGGAACTGGCTTGCTCTTTCTGTTTCCCTTGCTCGAATTTATTTTGTTCAAAATTACTGGTTGTTATATTCTATGACATAAATGAACTTAATGCAGGTCTCAGGTCTTAAAGATAGATGTTCTATAATTACGGTTGTTATTTGATGTTATCTAATTTATTTATTTATTGTTTGATATCTAATTGTTGAAATTAGATAAAAAAAAATTAAGTAATTAAATTCGATCATTTTATTTTGTGTAGGTAAGTTTATTCTCCATCAAATCCCTTGCCATCCTTCTTTTTTAAAATAAAATGCTTTCCTCAGTCGACTTTCCAAAAATATACCACAGCCATTGCCAGAGGACTGAGATTTCCGTGTCTCTGTAGAAAATTCAACCTCATTTGGATGCACGAAGCGAAAATGCATTCTGGAATTGTAGTTACTAGAGAATGAGTCTTGCAGACAGAGACTATAAAACATGAGAAATTTCGCAGAAAGTTTTGCAACGAAGGATGACAAAATAAAAAAAAACCCATTTGAAGTAACGAGTGCGGTCAAAGCAAAACTGTACGGAAAATGTTAATTTGATTCTTTGCATGGGCCTATCCTGTTTGAAAGATACACCACTTCAAAAGAAGATAGAAGGGAGACTTAGACTCCCGAAATACACGTCTTTAAATTGTTCCACAAAAGACCAAGTCATTGGCATGATCGAGGATCAACATCCTTACACTATACTCTAGAGGGAAGGACTTGAAGCCAAGGCAAATTCAGGGTCTTCATCCTAGAAGTATGAAGGTCAGAAAAGGAGAGGTGAGACTGAGACCATATGAAAGTATTTACCAGGATTAATATATTTTTTTTAAATTTATAATATCTTATAACATATACGAGTCATTAAAATCTTTAAAATAAATGTGATTAAACACTTAAGTAAATTTATCCTTTTTAAAAAAGTTCTAAACTTGATTAAAGATGCATAAAAATAATTGATTTTGATCTACTAATCAAAATTAGATTCGAAAATTTGGTTTCGTGTGGACAAAGTTTTACCACCCCTGCAATGACCATTTAAAATATGATGTCAAATAATTTTAAATCATCCTAAAATATATTGACTAATGGTCTTTCTATTTTTTAATTTTATATTTCATAATTTTAGGGTAAAATCCACATATATCTCCTATAGTATTCAACTTTCTCACTTACACCCTTGTAAATTTTTTTCACACTTATAACCTTGTGATTGACAACCATTATCAAAAAAGAGTAACGGTGTCAAATTTAATTTAAATTTTTATGAAATTCTAAAAATACGCTCAAGCTAAACCCTTCGCCTTCATTTTAATTTTAACTTTCTTTGTCAATCTACAAAAAGGATTTCCTTTTTTTGTTAAAGTTAACCGGCATCCTCAAAAGAAAAGAAGTTTTGTTTTAAAATCAGCTCTTGACGAGGTCTCAGTTCTTGACCCACCACCTCCTCCAGGTGAAGATACTAAAATTGAATTCATTGCTTCCTTGAATATTAAATTAATGGTATGTTAGGTAATAATTTTCAGAACCTGTTTTGAGTTTTTGTTGGATTTTGGTCTTTCTTACTCAGTTATATGTTTTTGCTTATATTTAGAGGTTATTGAAGTGTTCTATTCCTTGTTTTTTGTATATGAAAAAAATTAATAAGTTTCCATTTTTTATTCAGTAAGTCTAATTCATTGAATTGCATCAGCAACTGTAAATATTTGTTAGTTATTTCTTTCATGTTTTTTTTCTTTTTTCCAAAATGGATGCTTTGTCATAACATTTAATTTTAAAAAACTGACCCATTAGATATAAAAATATAAAGTCATCATCAATTTTTTTAATTTAAATATTATTGTTCGTCTATGTGAATTTATACTTTTTAAAGTTGTCTTAAGCTTAAATTAAGGATTTCTAAAAAAAATAAATTCTGATTTATATTAACAAAACTAAGTTTGAGAATCAATTAAGTGTAAGAAAGATTTTAATACTCCATACACACCCAAAATTTGTACTAAATTAATTACATGATATCTTATTTAAGCTTTAATCAAAAAAAATTTTTTTTACAAATTTTGATAATAAATATTGAAAAAAAGTTTTTTAGACTTTCACCAGAAAGAAATTTCTTTCATCATAAGAATATTCAAGATAAACTTGTTATTCACTTGAAAAGGCTCTATGGTTGGATTTATTAAATGTTTTATAAAAAATAAATTTTCAATTCCTTTCATTTATTTACAAAGTAATGTCATACAAAATTCTATAAAAAAAAAATCATGTAATAATATTACAACCAAAATATACAAATAAATCATGCAAATATCTTAATAAAAATCATGCCAAAATTTTATAGTAAAAATCATACCAAAATCATGCAAGGATATCATGAAATAAATATAAAAAAAATCATGCAAAAATATTATGCAAGCAAATCATTGTAATAAAAACCCATGCAATATTATGTAATAAACATACAAATAAACTAAATCAATACAAAATATCATGCAAATATATATTATAATCATTCATGCAAAAATACCATAATAAATTCATACAATTAAATATCATAAAAGTCATTCATATAAATATCATAATATAAATCAGGCAAATAAATAAACTATAAAAATCTTACCAATTTTTTTTCTCTTTCTCATCACTTTTAACTCAATAACAATTAAAAATAAAAAATAAGAAATAAAATCAAAATCAAAATAGTAAAAAAGAAAAAAAAAATCGAAATCTACAATTTGGGTTGAGTTCAAAGCCGTTTGATGCACAGATCTACTTTGAGTCAAGGCATGGATCTACCCCCTCTAAACAACATCGTTCAACCTTGGTATAACAGTTAAAATTCAGCCTTTTTCCTTCTACAATTCAGGTCAAGTCCAAACCCGGTTGATGCATGAATCTGCTTCGAGTCAAGGCATGGATCTACCCCATTAAACAACGTCATTCAGCCTTGGTGTAACAGTTAAAATTCAGCCTTTTTCCTCAAAATTGCTTTCTTTCTCCCTCTCGCCTTTATTCTCTCCTTTTTCTCTCTAAACAACCCACCAGAAAACCCAACAAGTTCCAAAAACCAGCCAAAAAACCAAGATTTTGACACCGAAAAATTCAAACCTTCCCCAAAAATATTTAAAAATCAAGAATCCGGCCACCATGCAAACCTCCGACCACCATGAATCTCACTGAAAAATTTAAATAGAAACCCAAAAAAATCCTCAAAAATCTCAAAAATTTTCAAAATAACAAAACGCAAACTTCAAATATTCCCTAAAATCCTATAAACACAACAACTTCAACATAACCCTAGAAACTTCAAAAATTGAACCAAAAAAAAAACCAAACACCAAAAATATTTTGAATCCCAAGAACCCAGAACCAAACTTAGAAAAATTTTACTTTAGCTGTTTGAGTTTGCTGGCTATATTGATTACTTATTGCTTGCGTGTCTTTCGATTAAAGATTTGGGGTCCTTTTATAAGGATGAAATCCCACCTCAATTTGAAAAACCTGAATCCTATTGAATTTTGACAAAATTTCTAAGATTTTAAGTTTCTATGATCTTTCCTTTTCTCCATGAATTGGGGACCAAATTTCAATAAACAATAAATCATTAAACTTTCAATTTCAACAAAATCCAAGAACCAAATCTACAATTTTTCTTTTTGCAAAAATTACCACATTTTCCTTTTTTTTTTTTCTAACTTCTTTTTATCCATTGGCCTTCGACCGAGTAAATAAAAATAAAAATAAAAAAACTAAACTAAAAATAATAAAAATACTTTGAGCTTTTAATCTTTGGTCCTAAAATTTAATTTCATCAAGCCCCAACTACAATTTCGCCTAGAATTCAAAGGCCATTTGATGCCAAAAAAATTCTAGAATAAAATGGAATCTACATGTTTAACTAAAACATGGAATTTCTTCAGTTTATATACCTGTATTATGAAAGTTAAAAACTTTGCTTCAATATTGTTAGGGCTATAAATGAACCTAATATGAATGAATGAACATATATCTATGTTTTGTTATGTTTATTTTTAGAGGTGTTTAGGCTCAATTCGTGTTCAGTAAAAAAATTTCTCTATTCATTTGAGTTTTGGTTGGTTTAAATGGCATTATATTCATGTTCAATTAGTGTTCAGTTCAATTAAATTAAATGAATTCATTTGAAAAATATATATAAACAAACATGTTCATGAACAATAAACCAACCAAACAAATATAACTATAAACAAGCCAAACCAAATATCTAAAACAAATATCTTTAGTCTGGCTGAACTAAGTTAAATAGATCCCCAAACAAAAACAAGTATTTCAATCAACTAAAAATATTTGTTCAAACTCGCTAAGATGTTGCAACTTAGGCTAAAAAAAATTTAACCGATCTTAAAGCCAACAAAAGTCTTATGTCTAGGCTAAGATCACTTTAGGTGGTCTGAATGTCACGGGTCGAGATTCAAGCTCCGAACCCGTGCGGCTCCGGGACCTGGACATTCACCTTTTCGGCATCTCGGATCAGCCTGACCGCCACGTTCACACCCTTGTGAGTATTGTCCGCTCTGGCTCCCCTGCCTCACGGTTTTGTCTACAAAAAGCGCCTCAACAAGGCAGAGATGGTGTGAACCCTTTTATAGTCACGGGACCCTCCTATTATTTCGATGTGGGATTCAGGACTCTTCCATAGGTCCGTGACATTCTCCCTCACCCAACCTCGTGACGCCCTCGTCACGGAGCTGGCCACCCTGCCTACCTCCTCGAGGTGCTTGGCGTGGATCGAACGGTTTAGGGTTGGCTCTGATACCACTTGTCACGGGTCAAGACCAAGCTTTGAACCCGTGCGGCTTCGGGACCCGGGCATTTACCTTCCGATGTCCCGGATCAGCCTGACCGTCACGTTTCACACCCTTGTGAGGTATTGTCTGTCTGGCTCCTTGGCCTCACGGTTTTGTCCTATAAAAGGTGTCTCATAAGGCGGAGATGGTGTGAACCCTTTTAAATCATGGACCCTCCTATTATGTTCGATGTGGGATTCAGGACTCTTCCTTAGGTCCGTGACACTGACACATGATTGAAATTGACTTAAAATAAAAAAATTTATTGGAGGACTTTCTTTTATAGAGACAACGGCTTTTAA